ATTAAATGGGGAAAAAAAAAAACTCCAAAAAGTGAAATCATTTGCTAAGGATCAAAAATGGCGTGAGAGGGAGAACCTAGACCAGAGCCCAGTTTTTCTGAATATCAGGCATTCTACTTCCCCATGCTCACCATCCCATTCATTTTGTGCTTCTCTTCTTGTGTGCTGTCACATAAAGTACCTTGAAGGCTCATGTGTGTCTGAGGAGTTTAATTATCACAGCCAAAGGACCACCTCTATTTATTTTCATTTGTAAACACTCTGCTGTAGAATCTTGAACATAGCAATTTCTAATTTAGCTTTATCCATGTAAAAACAACTAGTCAATAATGAAAATCCAATATTTTAACATTTAAAAAAAATCATAAGCATTTGAAAAACTCTGACTTGTTTACTGAACATATGGATGGATTTGCTTAGCCAGAAACTATGACCAATTCTTTTATTCAATTCCAGTGAGATGTTGTAGTTTCACAATAAATAGATCTCGGTAAAAATATCTTAGTGTCTCCATTGCGGAACTGTACTGGTTACTTTTACTGAGTGTGACAGAATTTCACATGAAAACTTTTTTACTCCCTAAGTGATAAATAGCATCATAGTCTGAAGAAAGACTGTCTATGTCAGAAGAAGAACAATTAATATAACCATTGAGAGAAAGTAACGCTTTTAGTATGACGCAATTTTATCATACTGTTACATCTCTAGTTGTTAGATTGCATTGATTTGTGCTGAAATTAAAAGAATACCTTTAGAATACATTTCCTTCCAAGGAAAAGCTATAACCTGGTCTAGAGAAAATGCATCACAGGATCATCAGCCCCACAACTGAGAAAAGATGTAACAAAGCAAAATAGGCAGCATGATGTCATTCAACCCATTTATCTGTGATTTTATAGCTATCTTTTGAAATAACGAGAATTAAATATTCAAGTTAGCTACTGTCTTTTGATTTAGGATGGTCTGTAAAAATGGAACAGGTTCTGAAAAGACATGAGAAAGAAATTGAGAATAAGATGTGAGGTAACAAAAGTTTCTCAATTAGGACAAAAAAGCATAAAACATAAAATATGAATATTAATACATTGTGTCTTATATTAAGATATTCTATTTACATTTAAACAATATTTTAAAGTGGAGAAAAGAAACCACATGCTTGGAGAAAACATTTTCTAACCAAAGCTTTTCAAAGTACCGATATCCAAATACACAAAAAGCTCCCACAAATCGATGCTAGAATATAACAAACCCACTTAAAAATGGATGAAATACATGAGTAGGTACTTTAAAAAAGGAGAATATCTAATGGCCAATACACATATAAAATGGTGGTCTGTATCATTAGTCATCAGAAAAAAACTAAATTAAATTAATACTTAGATATTACTACATGTCCAGAATAATAGTCAAAGTCTAAAAGTGACAAGCATTGTCAAAGATGTGGAACAGCTAGAATTGTCTTACATTTCTCAGGATACTGCGCAGTTCTTGCATTATGGATTAGACTGTAAATTTAGGAAACTAGATTTTGGAAAATTATTGACAAGACGTTTTGAAGCTGGTATTAAAAACTAGAAAGATGGTTATCTCTAGGGAATAATATTTACCATAATGGAGCAATGGAACATGTTGTGGATTAGGGTGTGCTTGGTGTAGATAGTGTATGTACATATGCAAAAATTTATCAAACATTATACTTACATTTATATTATGATATAATTATTATTGTGTACGATATGCTTCAAAATAAAGAGCTAATACAAATGAAATAAAATGAAGGTTATATGTTCCTCTAAAGTCAGATGCCATTCTTCTTCTTTTTCTTCTTTTTCTTCTGCCTCCTTCTCCTTCTCCTTCTTTAGTAGAAAGGAGGGTTCACTATGTTGCCCGAGCTAGTCTCGAACTCCTGGACTCAAATGAACCTCCTCCCTCAACCTCCCAAAGTACTGTGATTAGAGGCATGAGCCACCTCACCGAACTCTCATTTCATCTTTAAATCCCTATTGTTCAGATGCAGTCAGAGAATTACTCATGCCTTTGAGAGACATAGATTTCAGAATTTATTCATCCATTCACCACTTATGTACTATATTGTTACTACATGGTAATTATTGCAAAGAAGTATACAAATTCAGTTGCGAAAACGCATCCTTTGAAAATTACTTATAAGACTAAAAATAACTGATCACTATATTTGAGATCATAGTAAGAACTTAAAGGTTGGGGGTTAAAGTTAAGGGCACAACTGAATTAACCATGTTTTGCGTCAGCTGTGGCTGTATGTGACTAAATTCTCTAGATTCAGCTGAGGACTTGTACCCTAAGTTATTTTTTCTGCCTGTTATTTTGTAATATTATACATACATTTTGAAGATTCTGAAAACATTTCTAATGTTCACGGTATCTTACTGAACTTCAAATAGCCCTTTGATTTAAATAATCTTTTAATATCATATGCTTTAGTAAATATTTAACAGCTTAGTAGTCTAGCATGATATTTTCTGGGAAGAAAAAGGTGTGTGTGTGTGTGTTTAAAGCACAGAATAGGCAAAGGAAATACAAATGAAAGCTGATATGGTAAAAGTAAAGATACTAGAAGAATGAAGCAAAAAAAATTATCAAATAAATGAAAATGGATGGGGACCAAAAAGAAATTTTACATATTTCCAAATTTCACTTAGTAATTATAACCTAATGGATGATGGGAGGACAGAGGCTGGGTGATATTGTAACTGAATTTTAACATACCGACTCAAATGGCCAAAGTTCAAAAGACTGACAGCAACAAATGCTGGTGAGAATGTTGGTGAGAATGTGCAGCAGCAGGACTCACATGCATCGCTTATGTGAGTGCAAAATGAAAGAGTAACTTTGGAAGACAATCTGGCAGTTTCTTACAAAGCTAAACATGCTTTTACTATACAATCCAGTAATTGTCCATTTTGGTATTTACCTGAATGAGGTAAAACATGTCTACACAAAAACCAGAATACAAATGTTTATAGAAGTTTTATTCATAATTATCCAAAGTTGGTAGCAACCAACATGCTCTTCAATAAGTGAATGGATAATCTTTCTATAGTATATTCATACAATGGAACATTATCCAGTGATAAAAATAAATGAGCTATCAAAAAAGGAATGGATAATCCTAAAAACATATTTCTAATAAAAGAAGTCAATGTGAAAAGGCCACAATACTGTGCAATTCCAACTCCAACATTCTGAAAAAAATAATCAGTAGTGTTTAGGAGTTTGGGAGAAGTGAGGAAAGAGCAGGTGGAGAACAGGCAATTTTTAGGGCAGAAAAACTATTTTGTGTAATACTGTAATAGCTGTTACATGACTTATGAATTTGTCAAAACCCATAGAACTGTATGGCATAAAGAATGAACCTTAATTAAACTATGAACTTTGATAATATAATACCACACATAATACAGTAACAATATATCAATACTGGTTCATCAATCACAATAAGCATACAATACCAATGGCATATATATATATATATATATATTTTTTTTTTTGGGGGGGGGTACAGTCTCTCTCTGTCACCCAGGCTAGAGTGCAGTGGTGCAATCTCGGCTCACTGCAACCTCCAGCTCCCGGGTTTAAGCAATTGTCTGCCTCAGCCTCCCGAGTAGCTAGAATTACAGGCATCCACCACCACGCTTGGCTAATTTTTTTGTACTTCGTAGTTTTAGTAGAGACAGGGTTTCACCATCTTGGCCAGGCTGATCTCGAACTCCTTAGCTCGTGATCCACCCGCCTCAGCCTCCCGAAGTGCTCGAATTACAGGTATGAGCCACTGCACCCAGCTGCAGTATATTAATAATACTGAGAAACATTTATATGTGTGACTGAGTATAGGTATATTCTGTATTTCATCCTTAATTTTTCTGTAAATGTAAAGCAGTTCTAAAAATAAAATCTATGAATTTTAAAGAAAGATTGCATAAGATATCAGATATATGTGTGAGGAAATGGTGGGAAATGCTGAATATAAACACAAGGAGGAAGATGAAATGTAATATACGTGTTTGGGAGCACCTTGGTTTGGTGTCTTATCAGAAAAATGGGTCAGAATTTGAAAGAAATATTTTGGTCAGTTTTTAAAGCTGCTTTTGAGATAAATTTTTTATTACTGTTTTTTAAAATCTGTTTCTGAACAATGTTGTTCCATCATTGTCAAGATCATAGAACTATAGAATGCAAAGAGTGAATACTAACCTAAACTATGGATTTTAGTTTAGAATTATATATGAATATTGGTGCATAAATTGTAAAACACAGAAATTTTTTTTATTAGTCAAGATAGTACGCAAAGAAAAATAGTAGTTATAATGTTCTAAAATTAAAGAAAATATACACACTTTTTTTCCTAGAATTCTTTATTGGTGTTCAGAACAGTTGAGTTGATGTCTTTTGGCTTTCAAATGCTTCTGTTTCCTTATCTCCACAGGAGTTAGATAATTCACCTGTAGGGTGGGGAGCTGAGGAATGAGATAAAAGGGTATGATAGATTGTAGAGCTTTGCATTTGACCCATTTCTTTAATTTAATTTGTCAGTGAAGCATAGCATTTCAAAGAAAACCAGAGATGAAGGAATATTTAACTGAAAAATACAACATTATAAAATATGATTGATGTATATGTCTAGCTATGAAAAAATTTATTTAGGGTCTGGTATGCCAAGACTTTAGATACAGCAATTTCTTCTCATTAAGTGATGTAATAACTTTTAAGGGCTGCCCTAACCCAGCAACAAAGCAAGCTCAAACAATTTAATGAATATGAGGGCCTCTTCTTGTGTCAGAGGAAAATGAATGATTTGTGTTAAGTAGCTAATTAAAACAGATACACACACAAAAAAATCAGATATGCATGTGACTCATCATGTGCTCTGACCAGGGTATACGAGCTTCCCTCTACACCTGCTGCCATTCATACTCAGCACTTTGCCTTGAGCAGCAAACCAACTCACCACTCCTGACACCATGAGCTACTATGGCAATTACTACAGAGGCCTGGGCTACAGCCGTAGAGGCTTTGGTGGCCTAGGCTATGGCTACGGCTGTGGATATGGCAGCTTCTGCCAACTGGGCTATGGCTGTGGCTGTGGATATGGCTCTGGCTTTGGAGGCTATGGATATGGCTGCTGCTATCCATCATGCTATGGAGGATACGGATTCTCTAAATTCTACCCTGAGGACCCAACATCAGAGGTCATAAAAACATTCAAATTAACCAAATATTGAATCAAGTAAGGTCGCACTGGATCAGTCCAAGATAAAAAACATTTAGCATCTAAGATGTTAGGAATATTTGTTATTATTTTATAATTGTCTATATTATGTCTGCTGACATCCACTATCTGTACTTTCCTAACTGTGGAATTGCTCAGTTCCTTTTGCAATAAATTGTCTCAATTTGAAATAGCACACATGGTTTCTGTTTATTTATTTATCTATTTATGTAAATGCTGACTCTCCATTTCATTGCATATTTCTTTTCTTGAGAGCTTCCCAATAATCTTAAAATTCTCGTTACATGTTCATGTAACAGTCACAGCTGAGTTTATGACGATTAGTCTACTTTTCACACTATATGCTTCTTTTTATATAAGATTTTGATGAATCTTGAACCTCTTAATTTCTAGCATATCTGGATCTAAATAAAAGTAATTAGTAAACAAAGATAAATTCAAATGGTATAAAAATATTAGGAAGAATTAGAAAGGCTGAGACTTATTTACTAAACATAAGAATAGGTTTATACAGCCTGCTAGTAAGACCCACACTTTTAGTCAGTCTAAGTACGTACACTGCCCCTTGACTGGATCAATAATTCCATTGGAGGACTACACTACTTAGTTTGACAGAGGATGACAGTAGCTCTTCCATTTTCCTAATTGTGAGTGGTATTTTACTTCAATACAGGAAAAGGTCTTCTGTAGCTATAAATAAGTATAATAATCAATTTAACTGCTTAGAGAAAGCATTTGTTACTTCTAGTACCATGTAGTATGACCAAATTAATTGAACTTGGATTCATTGGTTTTATGGGTCACTGCAGGATTTAAAAGAAGTATTGCAGAATATCTTTACTTTCAGGGAAGAGCTTCGTTTATCTTAGGAAAAACCCATTACAACAAGACCATAGCCCCAAAATAGATGCATATTTGGCAGTGTCTGAAACCTGTTTGATTTACTTGTGATTATGTTGCTTTAGCTTGAGTTAATAAAAAATGTAATATTCAAATTACCAACTGCCTTTTTAAAAATAATCACAAAAATAGAACAAGTCTAAAGAAAACAGACAAAAGTTTTAAATAACAATGTGAGAGGTAGTCAAAATTTTTAAAACTAGAACTGAAAACATTAAACATAAAACAAAAAGATTTTAAAATGGGAGTTTATTATATTATTGCATTTTATTTATGTAAAGATACCATTTTAAGGTGAAAAAATCTACATATTGAATGAAAATATTTTTAATACATAAATCTGTATTAAAACATCTATACCCAAATACATAAAGATCTCCTGAGAATAAGTAATAAAATATTACTAGCCCAATTAAAAATGAACAAAATACTTAATCAGGCATCTCAAAAAAAAAAAAGATATCTAAATGGCCTATAAGTATATGTAAAATTGCTGAATATCATTATTAAATAAAGAGAAATTAAAATAATATTTAGATATCACTGTATTCAGAAGAATGGTCAATTCTTTAAAGAGTTTGAAAATGATCCGTGTAGGGTAGGATGTGAAGCAACTGAAACTCTCAAACATCCCTGTTGGCACAGTAAATTTAACAACTCTTAAATATAATACTGTATCTTGAGACTGGTAGAAACTATGGAAGCTAAATATATATTATATAATATATAATAGTATTTGTTATTTATAATGATATATAATTATATATAATGTATAAAATAAGTATAGATACGTTACAAATTAGCAATTCCTATACCAGCTATAACAAAGTTATAGGAAAGGCTAGGTCTAAAAATAAGGATCTTAGCTGGGTGTGGTGGCTCACTCCTGTAATTCTGGCACTTTGGGAGGCCTAGGCAGGTGGACTACTTAAAGTAAGAAGTTTGAGACCAGCCTGGCCAAATGGTGAAACCTCAGCCCAGTAAAATACAAAATTATTTTGCATTTGGGAATGGTGATGCATGCCTGTACTCCCAGTTACTTGGGAGGCTGAGGCAGGAGAATAGCTTGAACCTGGGAGGTGGAGGTTGCAGTGAGCTGAGATAGTGCCACTGCACTCCAGCCTGTGTGATAGAGAAAGATTCTATCTCAAAAAAATAAAAATAAAAATAAATAAATAAAAAGAAAAAGAAAAGAATAAAAGAATCTTTATAAGAAGGCATATAGCATCTTTCTTTGTTCATGCTCGCTGCAAAAACAAAACCAAATCAAAACTGAAACCCCCAAATTCTTCAAATATAGGTCTACCAGAGCAGAATCATAAATCAGTTGTGCTCTATTCATGTAGTAGATTACTTTTCACAAATTAAAACAACAAAATTCACATTACATATGATAGAGATCTACCAAATAGACAGTGATGCACAGAATAATTGGGGATGGAAATGGAAAATGTCAGTATACTATATGAGACCACTAAAGTGAAGTACAGAACAAGAAAACCTTATCTAGGAAGTTAATAGTTACTCTACCAGCAATAATATTAGCTGGTAGAGTCAAGAGACAGATATAGGGAATTATGGTATGCTTGATATAGGTGGTCCATAAGTATAAGCAAAGTATCACCAACTTGTATACTTAAGACTTAAGTATTTTTAAATATACCTTAAACAATAGCAACAAAAAAGCAAATAAAATGATAAGTGATTTGTTCCTCTAAAGAAAGCAAGCTATTTGAGCTAATTTCTCTTCTAAATCCTTATTTTTGGATACATTTATAGTACTGTTCATTCCAATGAGATGTAACATTTTTTACCTGTAAGAACTTTAGAATTCATTTGTCTATTCAACATTTATATATTGAGTCTCTATTGCATGCTGGTCATTGAACTGCAGACAACAAATCTAGTTGGAGAAATGTATAATTTGAAGCTATAATTCGAAAATTACTCATAAACTCATCAAAAGCTGAACAGTGTATTCAAAATAATAAAAATCCAATAAGAAATTATATATTTAAGCTTAAAGCTAAGGGCCTATGTGGGTGGGGTTTGAGATCAGCCTTAGGTCTAGGTGACTAACTTCTTAGAGTCAGCTGAGGTACTCTTTGTCTTTAATTGTTATTTTCTTCATTCCGTGTTTTCACATTATACATACTTTGGGGGATTTCTAATACATTCACAGTGGTAACAGTCTCTTACTGAATTTCCCAGGTTCCTTGGCGATGGCATATATTTGCAACATCTAGTGCTTTAATAAATACTTAACATCTTAGTAAAGATTAGTTAGCTATTTGCTTTTTTTTCCCCCATTTATTTAATTTTATGGCATTTCAGGTTTTGGGGTACATATGAAGAACATGCAGGATTGTTGCATAGGTAGTTATTTTCTTTTAGGAAAGAAAAGGAACGTACAATAGGTAAAGAGAATATAAAGGCAAAAATATGAAAAAATGAAGATATTATATAATATACAAATTTAAGTAAGTATTAAATGAAAAATGATGGGAGGCAAAGAGAATTCATACATTTCATCATCTCACTTAGCCCCAGACCCTAATGGGAATTAAAAGAGTGTATTGATAAGAGGACAGTTGTGTGGATCAGGGAAAGGGAATGATGGTGTTTATAAGAGAGGGGGGCAATATAACCTGCATTTTTGGTAGCACCTTGGATGTTTAATATGTCAGTAAGGGAGTCAGGATGGATATGAAAAAAAATTTTTTGAATAGTTTGTAAAGCTGCTTATAAAATAAATTTTTGATTACTGTGATTTGACTTCAGTGCTTGAGCAATATTCTGTTATGTTGTTAAATCAAAACGATTTTTATTTTTTAAACTAGTAAAACAAAATAAAAGAGAATATTCATTATGATGACCAATGTTCTAGAATAATAGGAGAATGATGGCTTTAACTTTTTTACCCGGTGAAGTTCTTTACTGTTATGCATAGCAGGGGACAGATGGCTCCAGTCTTTCCAATGTATTTTTCCCTTTGAAAAGGGACCTCACCTGAGTACAAGATACCTCTGAAAGAATGTGATAAATTTCACGGCCTTGAATTTAACCAGGGTCTTTTATTTAATCATAAATGAAGCAAAACAGTTCCAGGAAAGCCAGAGATGAAGCAATACTTAATTTCAAAACATAGCATTACCAGCTATGTAATACAATATGCCTACGAAGAAGTCTATTTGAGGTCTGCTGTGTACAGACTTTGAAGCTACAGCAATTTCTTCTCATAAAAGTGATGCAATATGTTAAAGGGACAGCATAGCAAGACAGCATTGGAAGCTCAAACACTTTAATTAGTTTGAGGGCTTCTTCAGATGTCAGGATTGGGTCAGCTAAGCATAACATGCAGAATTACACTAAAATAGACAGCGTTTGTCACGTGATCTGTCAGGGTATATAAGCATGCCCGCACAGATGTCAACGTTCACACTCAGAACCTTGCCTTGAGCAGCAAACCAAACTCAATACCTGGGACACCATGAGTTACTACGGCAACTACTACGGAGGCCTGGGCTGTGGCTGTGGAGGCTTCGGTGGCCTGGGCTATGGCTATGGCTGTGGATGTGGCAGCTTCCGCAGACGGGGCTATGGCTATGGCTGTGGCTATGGAGGCTATGGCTATGGCTGTGGCTTTGGAGGCTATGGATATGGCTCCTGCTACCCATCATACTATGGAGGATACGGATTCTCTGGATTCTATTAAACTACTGCCCCAGCGACGCAGTGTTTCAAATTACAAGAGGACATTCCAAAGCTGACTTCAACCATTGGACAACCAAGATCATGCTGGACCTATTTGCACAAAATAATTTAACATCTCAGAACTTCAGGCAATTTTGCCATTTACACTCATATCTCTATCATAATCCTAGTATCGTCTACTTTTGCTTTTATAACTGGTTGAAGTATCTATCTTCCAATAAAACATTCTAATTTGAAAACACAATATGGTTCTGTTTTGTTCATGAAACTCAGTTATATGTATGTGATGACAGTTACATTCTACTCAATTGTCAGCGAGAGAAGCTATCTCCTTGGTTGAGAATCTATGTTTTTTCACATACCTCATAAACATGCATGCAGATAGATAAATAAATACCTCCAAAGAATAATAGATTAAAATGACAACAAGAACTTCAAAATGGTTAAAAATCTGATGTTTTTCAACATTTTGCTTTTACTTAGATAATATTCAGATTTAAGGCAACAACAAAAATTAATACCAACTTAACATGTCTATATATTTGTATATCAAGCATATATATTTTATTTAATTCAGGACGTATTTGTCAAGTAGCTACAAATGTGTAACAAATCCTTTTATTCATTCAAAATTTGTTTCTTTTTATTGTAAAAGCAAGCAAATGGTTACAGATCAAACCATATTACTGGGTTAATTATGAAAGTTTATTATCTTTCCAAGAATTACTGTATTTGGTATAACCTCACCCTATCATACTTTTCTGCACATTAATTTATTTGACATTTTCATTGAACAACTGATGTATGTAACTATTAAATTAGTATAGAATTTTTTTCACATTGGATTAACCTATTTAGCTCAAAACATTTAACTGATTTTTTTCAACTAGCTTTTCTATTATCTTACTTGATCTTCATGGCATGATATGGCTATCTTCTTCACCATTATCATTATATCAAAAAATTTGCAACTTAACAAAGGAAAGAAATAAGTCTTTGTTGTCAACTAATTTATTTTTTAGCCTAAGCTGATGACAAGAACACTTTGATCCAAAGTGTTCTTACAAAGCTTTCTTACAAAGCTGAATTTCAGTTAAACCACTCCCCTTATAAAAATAGGAAGGGGGGCATTTTGTTGATGAAATTTTAAACAGACATAAATGAATATCAACTGTTTTCTAAAGTAAAATGATATATTCAACAAACAATACAAAATCAAGACATTTTGTTTGAATCGGTCAAAACTTGTTAAATGTGTTTGATTGAGTCACATAGTAGCATCAAATGTTGCTGAACTAGAACAAACATTAAGCGGTAGCAGTTACATTCATTTAATCTTTTAGGTTAAAAACCATGACAACAGCAAAAACATTCAGAAAACTTACACCAGTTCTAGTGGCAGAGTCAGGATCAGGGTTATTGCCAAGGTCTTCTGAATGCAGGTGCCACCATGACGTCTTTATTCCCATCGTGTTTTCTCCCTTCATGAACCAAAGAGGATATCTTGAAAGTTCTGCTCAGTTTCCATAACATGACTGAATTTACAGGGGACGTAAAGGTGGTTTCTTAGAATCACTATATCTATAATATTTTACTGTTCTGATTTAGAGAATTGAACCTCTTAATTTTGATGTTATCTTCATCTAGATTTCAATTGTAACATCTATATGCATATCTATATGTATGTATATATATACTTATAAGTATACCTATATTTATCTGTATGGGTATATCTATTTCAAAAGATTAAAGTTTTCATTTGAAAGTCGCAATGTTAAACTTGTTTAGCCATGTGGTATCAGCTATTTTTCTAGTCAATTCAGTCTGGGTGTTACAGGAAAACAATATGTATAAACGGAAGGTACAGTTGTGTGTTTCCATTATTTTGCACTTATTTATTCAGGTTAACAGTTTCGAAGTCAATGGACATGCTCTATAGAGCTAAAAATAAAAACATCCATCAATGTGATTACATTGAGAAACATTGTATATTATACTTTTATTCAAATGCATTATCAAATTTTATTACATCTTATTTATTTAATTCATTTTTATGTGTCTTAAAGAAAAATGTTTTGAATTTATGGAAAAATGTCTTTATCTTTCAAATAAAAGTTATCATTTGGCCAATAGAAAACTTAATTTTCAGGGCCGGGCGCGGTGGCTCACCCCTGTAATCCCAATACTCTGGGAGGCCGAGGTGGGTGGATCACGAGGTCAAGAGATCAAGACCATCCTGGTCAACGTGGTGAAACCCCATCTCTACTAAAAATACAAAAAAATTAGCTGGGCATGGTGGCGAGCGCCTGTAATCCCAGCTACTCAGGAGGCTGAAGCAGGAGAATTGCCTGAACCCAGGAGGTGGAGGTTGCGGTGAGCCAAGATCGCGCCATTGCACTCCAGCCTGGGTAACATGAGTGAAATTCCGTCTCAAAAAAAAAAAAAAAAAAAAAAAAGAAAAGAAAACTTAACTTTCATTACTACACACATGAACCAGGATCTCAGTTTCACAATTAGCTCATTATCTTCCTGGAGAAACCTTCCAAAAAGTAACATAATAGAGAAATAATGGTGCAAGTCATTGAGTCCATTGAATTCAGAGAAAAAAAAAATCAGAAAAGTAAACATTTCTCAGTTTCCAACTGAATTTCAGAATCACTATCCAAAAAAGATATTATAATTGTTCTACTTTTTAATTAGGAAAAAAGCAGAAGTATTTGGGTGTTTTGGTTAACATATTTCACAGCATTATATAATCATATATGTGCATGTATCTACCTATGTGTATTTGTGTATCACAATGAGATATATCTTATTATTTTGTTATTTGAAAATAGTAAAACAGGGCACATTCTATTAATTAATATTTCATTTATAATAAATAATAAAATGTGACTTTCATTTGTAAAATCCGTTGGATTATATTTCCCTTGGACATGGTTATATGCATCAGAAACAGCAATGTACATTATTAGCCTAACATGAAAGTTATAAAATCTAGCAGGTTTACTCAAGAATTCATGAGGTTCTTAAACTAGTTAGATTTTTTTTTTTTGTTAATTGTTTGTTTTCAAAAACTACCTGTGGAGAATAAAAAAAAACTGTCCAGTTTTCTTTGTCAGAACAAAAATAAAGGTGTAACGAATTTTGAGTAGGAAGTGGAAGAAAAGTGGTATCTGTAAAGCATGAAGACAAGGTAATCTGAATTTCGAGGTAACATTTTAGGTAGAGCAAATTCTGGAAAAGTGCAGAATGGTATAAATAGACTTGTTTGTGACAGTCTCTCTCTGTCTCCCAGGCTGGAGCGCAGTGGCACGATCACAGCTCACTGCAGCATCAACCTCCCAGGGATCAAGCAATCTTCCTGCCTTAGCCTCCCGAGTAGTTGGAACCACAGACGTGAATCTTCACACCTGGCTAATTTTTTAACTTTTTCGTAGAGACAAGGTCTCCCTATATTGCCCAGACTATTCTCAAACTCCTGGTGATATAATTTGGCTGTGTCCCCATTTGAATCTCAACTTCAATTGAGTCATGGGGGCTGGTCTTTTCCATGTTATTCTAATGACAATGAATAAGTCTCATGAGATCTGATAGATTTATCAGGGGTTTCTGCTTTTGCTTCTTCCTCATTTTCTCTTGCTGCCGCCATGTAGGAAGTGCCTTTCACCTCCTGCCATGATTCTGAGGCCACCCCAGCCATGTGGAATCTGTAAGTCCAATTAAATATCTTTTTCTTCCCAGTCTCAGGTATATCTTTATCAGCAGTGTAAAACAAATGAATACACCTGAGCTCAAGCAATCCTCCCACCTTGGCCTTCAGAATTACAGGAGTGGGCCATTGTGTCCCACCGGGGGAGAATATTTTTGAAAAGCTGTTCAGGCTGGTGTAAAAGTGAATTTGTTTATTATGTTGATAAGCCAGAATGATGTTTTGCAAGCTGTTATAGAAGTTAAAGTAGTTTTATATTATGCCTACTATGTGTTTTTCATTACTTTGTATTTACCACAGCTAATCAGAAAATTTATTTCTTCAAAAAGCTTGTTTTCCTTTGAAGGAGGGATAGCCTTAATTTCTCAACTCAATAAATATATTTGATATTTGAAGGCTTTACTAGATTTAAAAGTTTTAAACTTGATCAATGTATTTAAATCTAAGTGGTGGTAAAATAGAACAATCTAAGGAATGATATAAAAATGAGAAATGAGAAAATATTTAATGAAAACACATTGTCAAATACAAATAATTCAATATGCTTAGTGATGAAGAATTCTATGTACGATTTTTAAATTGTGTAACTGAAGATGCAGATTATTTTGTCATTTAAAAAAAATGTATTGGTTGGGCATGGTGTCTCACGCCTGTAATCTCAGCACTTTGAGAAGCCAAGGCAGATGGATCACTTAATGTCAGGAGTTCGAGACCAGCCTGGACAACATGACGAAACCCTATCTCTACTAAAAATACAAAAATTAGCTGGGCGTGGTGGCAGGTGCCTGTAATCCCAGCTACCTGGGAGGCTGAGGGAGGAGAATCACTTGAACTCAGGAGACAAAGGTTGCAGTGAGCCAAAATCACACCACTGCACTCCAGCCTGGGCAACAAGATAAAGATTACATCTAAAAAAGAATTTAAAAAGTTCAAGGGCATTCTAACCATGCAACTAAGCCTGCTCAAAGATTTTAATGAGTTTGTGTCTCTCCTTGTGCTAACAAACAGATTGATGATTTGCATCGAGTAAATAAATAAATTGGAATGCTGTGAAAGAATAGCCATATGTTTATCACATATTCTGCTCAGGGTATATAAGCATTCCCTAAACATGCTGATATTCATACTCAGGTCCTTGCCTTGGACAGCAAACTGAACTCACTATCCCTAACACCATGAGCTACTATGACAGCTACTACAGAGGCCTGGACTATGGCTATGAAGGTTTTTGTGGCATGGGCTATGGTTACAGCTATGGATTTGGCAGTTTTCACAGACTGGGCTATGGCTATGGCTATGGCTATGGAGGCTGTAAATATGGCTGTGTCTACAGAGGCTATGGAGATGGCTGCTGTTGCCCATCATGGTACAGAGGATATGGATCCACTGGCTTCTACTAAGCTGCTGCTTTAGTAACACAGTGTCTGTTACCTTAAGGGGATTTAAAAACAAGTTACTAACTTCTAAGATACAATGGGGGTACAGGTATAAATGTGTAAATGCTCCCATTCCAAAGGGAGAAATGGGCCAAAACATATAGGCCCCGAACAAGTCCAAAGCTCAGTAGGCCAGTCATGAAATATTAAAGCTTCAAAATAATCTCCTTTTACTCCATGTCTCACATCCAGGCCACACTGATGCAAGGGGTAGACTCCCAGGGCATTGGGCAGCTCTGCTTCTGTGGCCCTGCAGCGCATAGTTCTCCTGGCTGCTTTCACTGCTAGCATTGAGTGTCTGCAGCTTTTCCAGACACACAGTGGACTATATAAAAACATACATATGTATATATGTATATGTATACATAAATACATGTATATATACAATGTATTATATACACATATACATATATGTATATTATATATGATGCATATGTATGTATGTGCATATGCACATATATATGCATATACCACATATGCATATATACATATATGCATATACATATACATGTATTATATGCGTATATAGGTATATATGTATAATACACATACATATAATATATATACATATATTATGTATATATGTATACATATATACATAACATATATATGCATATAATATGTTATATAATATATGCACATATATATGCATATATTATATATTATATGTATGTGTATTATACATATATACATATACGTATATAATAATGCATATATAATACATATGTGTTTATATGTATATGTATTATACATATATGCATATATGTATATATGTGTATATGTATTATATGCATATATATTATATGCATATGAATATATATATCTATATGTATATATAATATATACACACATATATATAATATATATACATGTATATATACATATACATATTCATATGTATACATATACATATATACTTCATTCATATATATACATATACATATTCATATGTATATATATACATATATACTTCATATATACATATATGTATATATACATACACATATATATGTACATATATGTGTATATGTATGAATGAATTATATATACATATATATATATATATATATATATATATATGAATGAAGATAAACTTCAGTGAAACCTCATCCTTTCAAGAAATGGTCAAAACTCCTTTATCAGGAGCAGTGGTTCTTGCCCCCAGCCTGCCATTCAGCGGGTATCTTTATGATACTGAACGCTGCTGCCTGGGCTGTGGATTCTTGTACTGATATAACTGTTTTTCCCTTAAATCATGCTCTGCACTGTGTCTGCTCCAGACATTCCTCTGACTATAAGCTACTTATTCCTTAATTCATGCTCTGTACCATGTCTACTCTAGGCATTCCTCTGAGTATGAACTAAGACATATATATATAGAAATAACTGAGTGGTAAGATATTCTTTAGACACTCATTCTATGAACTAATATATGATTATAGATAGAGGATTATATAAAAAGAAATAACTGAGTAGTAACACTATAACTGAGATATTCTTCAAGCCCCAATTCTATAAACTAATATATGATTCTATATAAAGCATTATATAAATGGAAATAACTGAGCAGTAACACTATAAATGGACATATTCTTCAGGCCCTAATTCTATAAACTAATATATGATTGTATATAAAGGACTATATAAAAGGAGATAGCTGAGTAGTAACGCCATAAACTGAGACATTCTTCAGGCACTAATTGTGCCAGGATTCTGCTTAGCTTTCCTTCCTCGGGACCTATATGGGGGGTTACCCACATTTAATCACTTGACTGATTTTCTGAAATGGAGAATAAAAATGAGATGAGATTGTGTTATAGTAACCCAGACATCAAAGAGGAAGGCTAGTGTTTGGTTAAATGCTACTCTGACAGCAGAAATCTTGTTGGAACTCATGTTCAGCTTTACAACATTTCCCAGAATAGCCAGTAGGTTGGTCATTTTATGCTATTCATGGCCCTTGCATTGATGTCAAAGTCATGTAATTTATTCAAATAATATTTTTGAATGCCAACTAAATACAAGGCTTTATTTTGACACTCAGCAGGTCAGAGAAATACCACATTATAAAACAAACAAAAAACACAGTGTCACTTGAACTGGAAGTCATTATGTTTAGTGAAATAGACAGATATCGCATGTTCTCACTCATAAATGGGAGCTAAAACGTTGATCTTATGAATGTAGAGAACAGAATGATAGATATTGGAGGCTGGGAAGAGTGTGTGGGTGCAGGGGTGATAAAAGTTGGATGAAAGGTGTAAGTTCTATTGTAGAGTGATTATAGTTAACAATATATGGTGTATTTCAAAGTAGCTAGAAGAGAGAACATGATTTATTCCCAACAGAAAGAAATGATAAATATTCAGTGATGGATATCTCAAATACTCTACCTTAAACAATTTACATTCTATACATGAAATTAAATATCACATGTATCTCATAATCATGTAAAATACATATCAATAAAAATTTTAAATGAAGTAAAACTTTTTAAAATGTGTCATTCAACTACTCATAAATCTAAAAAAAGCTTAGCAGTATGATTATACTCATGTAAAACTGATACATTTTTGGAGTTCCAAGTTTCAAGATACACATAAATCTGGATGAGGTTTAATCAGGTATGAGGGAATGCTTGGGTATTTCTAACTCTCTGGGCTGAACTGAAGGACTCTCTGGTCAGCTCTCCCTAAAGAGATTCTCCTTCTTTTCTATATTTTTCATAATTGTGCCTCACATTTAGAGAATTTCTTGTTATTCTAAGTTGCACAAATATTTTTAAAATTTCAGATAATTTGAAGAGTTGAAATATGCCTGAAATAAGAAACACTGTAATCAATGTCTTAGAAAGATCTAGTTGATATCTTAGAAAAGGCTAACTAGAAAGCACTTGAAAACAAAACACAACAAAAAACATAGGCACTGAATAGACAAAGACAAGAGCAAATATTGAGTATGGAAATCTACATGGAAAGAATAAATGTTGATTTGAGTAAATAGGTTGTAGCCAGAACATTTTACCTAGTTCAAACTTTACCTGGATATAGTAATGAACTGTGGAGAAAAAGAATTGGGTGAAGTTTGAAGTGAGATCAGCAAAAGATATAAGAGAGGTGAATTAATGACAAAAAGTAGAGAAAGAGAAACCATTCTGTATGGTAGCAGATTATAATCCTAATTTTTGGGTAACAGTGAGGGTAGAACATATAATGGAAAAGGGACTTGGGATATAAATAGAAAACTCTGGAAAGACTTCACATGAGATGGACTTTTGATCCCTGTAAGAGTCTCTCTACTTGTGACTACAATTGTGCTGTATTCTTCAAACAAAACAAATGTTTCGCATGCTGGTGTGCAAAGGCCAAAATAAATATAACAATTGTGCATGATCAAAGTTTTAAAATCTATAAATTAGGGGACATTTGTTTATTTCAGGGACATGCACAGGTGAATCAAATCTTTCTTGTTTCACATGCTACAAAATATGTGTGCTTTATGAAAAAACTGATGGGTTTAAGAGTCTTGACCTTGGCTAGTTCTTGAAATTTTGTAGAATCAATTATAACAACTTCCAAAAATGCTTGTGATGAGAATACATTTAATTAGAAATTCAAGAATGTTTAATGTGACTGATGTTAAGTGACTGGTAATAAATAATTCTATTTAGGGTTTGGAATGTTTAGACTTTGAAGAAACAGCAATCCCTTCTAATAAAATTAAAGCAACACGCTCAGGGACAACCTAACTAGGTAGCCAAACAAGCTCAGGCATTCTTACTGAGTGTTGTCAGGGGACAATAGATTAACGAGCTGCCTCCAGCAAGTGTAATTCATGGAACGACACAGAAAGAGGGGCACATGCTCATTATGTGCTCTGACCAGGGTATATAAGCCTCCTTATACACATGCTGGCATTCACACTCAGGATCTTGCCTGAACAGCAAATCAACTCACTACTCCTGACACCATGAGTTACTACGGCAAGTACTATGGAGGCCTGGGCTATGGCTGTGGAGGCTTCGGTGGCCTGGGCTATGGCTGTGGCTGTGGATGTGGCAGCTTCCGCAGACTGGGCTATGGCTATGGCTGTGGCTATGGGGGCTACGGATATGGCTCTGGCTTCGGAGACTACGGATATGGCTCTGGCTTTGGAGGCTACAGATATGGATGCTGCCGTCCATCATGCTATGGAGGATACGGATTCTCTGGCTCTTACTAAATGACTTGCTGAAATTGGAAGCAGAGGAGAAACGTCCAAATGTGTTTGGTCCTAGCCTGTGCTTTCATTCCAGAAACATCTATTCTATTGTCTTCAGCATCAGTGGACAGATATTTATCAATGGTTAAGCTGCTTCTATAAATATTTGTTGTCTTTTTACTTTTGGAATCTGTCGTTTGAGAGCATATTCATGTATAACCACTCTAATTTGTTCTTCTCAATTTGCTTTATTTTTCTTACCATTGCCACGATGTTATTTTTCTATCAAGATCCTAGCAAAAACCTGTATTTTCCTTTTATCTAATAAATGAATCAAAATATAAATATTTTGTTCTTTTCAATGCTTTCGTTGTTACTATTTGACATTTTGTTTTGCATTTAATATAAAAGTTTTACTTATGAAGCAGTGAGATCTGCAGCTCCATGGTGGAATCTGATGAAAAATCTTTCTAGTTTACTATGTTAATAGAAGCTTGAGAACAAATAAGACACCATCTTAACAAGAAATTTAAAATAATATGGCCCTATCTATTTACTTAGGATGTCAGCTCCTCTCAAGTATCCCTCAAGTGTTCCTGGAATCATTAAGGACAGTGTCATTCCCATATTCTGCTGTGCAACATTATTGTTAGCTGAATGTCTTCTTGATACCATTGTTCTGGCCAAGCATATCTTTGCCTTTTTTCCACCTTCAGTTGCAGCTGTGAGAAGGAGATTGGGAAGTTTCACTCATTTCCTGGTCAGAACTACACTCTATATTTAGCATCTACCTGAAGGCCATTGTCTCATATATGACTGATACAACTCCCACTGCAATGAGGCACTGGAACCCAGTGGTACAATGTTGTACAAAAAAACTGGAGTTAGGCCAGGCACGGTGGCTCACATCTATAATCCCAGCACTTTGGGAGGCCGAGGCGGGTGGATCATGAGGTCAAGAGATCGAGACCATCCTGGTCAACATGGTGAAACCCCGTCTCTACTAAAAATACAAAAATTAGCTAGGCATGGTGGTACGTGCCTATAGTCCCAGCTACTCGGGAGGCTGAGGCAGGAGAATTGCTTGAACTCAGGAGACGGAAGGTGCCGTCAGCCGAGATCGCGCCATTGAACTCCAGCCTGGGTAACAAGAGCGAAACTCCATCTCAAAAAAAAAAAAAAAAAAAAATTGGAGTTAGTTTACAAATGTGTTCTCCAATTCTGTGGGTTGTTGCTTCACCTAGTTGATTGGCTCATTTGTTGTGCAGAAGCTTTTTAACTTCATGTGATCCAATTTGTCCATTTTGGTCTCGATTGCCTGTGTTTATTGGGTATTACTCAAGAAATTTTTGCCCAGACCAATGTCCTGGGAGTTTCCTATGTTAAGTGAGATAAGCCAGGCACAGAAAGACAAACGTCACATGTTCTTATTTATTTGTGGGATCTAAAAATCAAAGCAATGGAACTCATGGAGGTAGAAGAACGGTTACTAAAGGCTGGAAAGGGTATTGGGGGAGGGGAGTGGGGATGGTTAATAGATGCAAAAAACTAGAAATAATAAATAACGACTTAGTATTTAATAGCACAATTAGGGGCTATAATCAATAATAATTTAATTGTACATGTTAAAATAACCCAAAGAGTATAACTGGATTGTTTGTAACACAAAGGATAAATGCTTGAGGGCAGGGCTGCCCCATTTTCCATGATGTAATTATTACACTTGGAAAGCCTCTGCCAAAATATCTCATGTCCTTATAAATATATATGTATCTACCTACTACGTCCCCACAAAAATAAAGAATTTTAAAAATATACACTAAAAGAAAGAAAAATTGAGGTAAGCAGGAGGGGATGCTTTCTGATTTTCGTTGCACTTTATTAGAGGCTCTTACTAGTCTATATACCTTGTCATGAATGGATGATGACACAAAGTCAGATGAGAATACACTGGAGGCTTTACTGAAAAGAGGCCTTCTTGGCTGTCAACTCTGGCTTCATTGCTCAGTCAAGTTCAAGAAGCCTGGATCTTTTTTCCCTTGGAATTTATTCTCACCCAGAAGATTCTTCTGCCCTTTTTGGTCTTGTTTTACAAGCTGACAACCCCTGGCCAGGCATCTTGGAACACCAACAGTGAACACAGATGGAACTCCTCTGCTGTGTTTCTCAGTCAGCTTTCAAAGTAGCAAGAGAAGCCTGTTCCACCAGTTTGTCTGAAATGACCAGGCTTGTCTGAATCCACTTAAATTCAAATTTGGACCCCTACTATCTATCTTAGAAAATCTTTTTATCTTCTTGTAAATCCAAAAGAGGAGCACTATTTTATAAATAATTTCTTAGAGAAAAATTGTTACCTTTTTACCTAGACTATAGTTTTGATTTCAAATTTGAAAACTAAACATTGGAAGCAAAAAATGGAGAGAAGAAAAAAAACGAAGAAAGGAAAAAATCAAAAAAGAAAGAGAAAATTCATAGGTTAAGAGCCCAATCATATTTAGAACACAGTCCATGTTTTGTTTTATTTTATTTTTTAATTGACACAATAATGGTATGTATTTATGGGGTGCATAGTGAAACTTTGATATATACATGTATATCTATACATAATGTATAGTAATAAGATCAGGATACTGAGCATAGACAATTGATCTTTTGTGAAGTTGAAATGAGAACCAGATACCTGTCCAAGTGCTGTTAAATTGAAAGACAGCGACTCAAAGACCCTCCGGCAGATAGCCTTTGAAAATGCTTAATTTTGTTAGTGAGATGGTGCAGTCTAAGGTTTAGTATGTTTTAAATTCCCTCGGACCAAACAGAAGAGTTAATAAATTATTTAATTAAACTAGTTTTTAGCTTTAGCTACTTATTTTATGTTCTAACCAAAAAGTGCAAGAGAATAGCCCCTGTAGATTATGGTAACTGAAGTTACTATTCTGTATAATTTTCTCTAGACAGACATTATGTTCTACTAAAGATGACCTTGTAGACAGAAAAACTGTTACCTTTTTACTACACCATAGTTTGTACTTCAAATTAGGAAACTAAACAACGGAAGCAAAAACAACAACAAAAAACATCCTCATTAGGTTTAAGTGCTGGCCTTATTTGAAGGTCTTTTTGATTTCCGACCTGAACTGTCCAGATGCTGTTAAATTTAATTTGTACCCAAATATAATTAGTGTTGCTTCTGAATGTCATGGCTTTTAAAAGTATATTGCAAAAAAAGTGTTTTTATTCTTGGTTAGGTTGTTAAAGAATTGGAAGCTGGGAACATGAGATATATTTCTAAATTGCAGTCACTAAATAGTTCTGTTGGGAAAACTGAATTTTTGTTGATGTCTATTACAATATACCAGTAAGATATTAGAACATATGATTCTTCTGAATGCATGTAGAGAAAAATTTCCTGAGGAAAACTGTAGATCCTAATTTTGAGGGAGGTATAATAGTCTCATGTATACCTAAACATGCTAGTGAATAGTGATTGCATAATTTAGGAGCCAAGATTAATGTTAAAGGATAAAATTGGAGAGTGAATAATTTCTTGAAACATGGAAACAAAAATTAAATTTTCTTTCCTCTACCTAGAAGAATTTTTCAGACATAATAATCATGGTCACATCTTATTACTGCACTCAAGTTGGTCATAGAAAACTCTTAATAATGCAAATCAATATAAAAACTCTTTAATCAACAAAAAATGCTCTATTAACATGAAAGATCAATTGAATCAATATTGTATTGAATGTGTGTATAGAATAAAAATTCAGGATGCCTGAGCAATTTGGTAATCCGAATAAAAGTATTTTCTTTTTCTGGAAATAAGTTTGACAAACATCACTGCTGGCCTTGGAAACATAGAGGACTAGGTTGCAGCTATGGATCCATCTATGGTTTGAGCTATGAACTTGGAGATTCTGAGGCTTAATATTGTTATATATTTAGTTATGTTTCTGCCAAGCACCTTCCTATGGGTTGTAGAGACCATGTGGATGCTATTGTCCAATTGGTTGACAAGGACACTGTGATCGTCACAGCCTCTCAAGTCAGAACATGGAGAAGCTTTGCATGTCTCTTCTGTCATCTCCACAGCCAATTGGTAGCTATTTTGTGCTATCCTATTAATAGATATGTAAAATATGTAGTTCTTTAAAAATGTATTCAATTCCGTTTTGCCTTTTATCTAATGCTCATGTTCATAATTTGCCACTTGGACTATGGCTGCGCTTCTCATCTGTTCCTATCTGATCTCCTAAACTCAAAACCTACCACCTTTCTTTATTCTGTTTGCTGAAAGTGATTTGTTTAAAATGGCTTTTTATGTCTCTCCCTGGGATGACACATAATGCTGCTATTATGATGAGGAAAATGAAGCTTTCAATATGCTGATATGAAAGGAAATTTCATTAAAAGGCAAGTTACAGAAGAGCAGGGGCCATGCAGTTGGCTCATCAGGTATGATATGATACTCAGCAAACAACGACTGAATTAATATGTGTATTCACCTAAACGATTATAATCCTGTTAAATATTTGTCTTTTTAGTAGCCTCTCCCTCACCTTGGATGGTCTGCTCTTCATTCCTCATAATGAGTTCCTACTCATCTTCAAAATTTAACAAGTGATTGCTGGGTCAAATGGTACTTCTGGTTCTAAATCCTTGAGAAATCACCACACTGTCTCCCACAATGGTTGAAGTAATTTACACGCCCACCAACAGTTTAAAAGTGTTGTTATTTTTCCACAGCCTTGCCAAGATCTGTTGTTTCCTTACTTTTTAACAATTGCCATTCTGACTGATGTGAGATGATATCTCATTGTGGTTTTGATTTGCATTTCTCTTATGATCATTGATGATGATCTTTTTTTCATATGTCTGTTCAAATCCTTTGTTCACTTTTTGATGGGGTTGTGTTTTTTTTTCTTGTAAATTTGTTTTAGTTCCTTGTAGATTCTAGATATTAGACCTTTGTCAGATGGGTAGTTTGCAAAAATTTTCTCCCATATACCCAAAGGATTATAAATCATTCTAGTATAAAGACTTATGTACATGTATGTTTATTACAGGACTATTTACAATAGCAAAGGCTTGGAACCATCCCAAATGCCTGTCAGTGATAGACTGGATAAAGAAAATGTGGCACATGGAACACTACAGAGCCATAAAAAAAAATGAGATCGTGTCCTTTGCAGGGACATGGATGAAGCTGGAAACCATCATTCTCAGCAAACTAACACAGGAACAGAAAATCAAACACTGAGTGTTCTCACTCATAAGTGGAAGCTGTGCAATGAGAGTATA